GGCCATATTCTGGGCCATAAACTAAACAAACCCCAACAAATTTAAATGAATGGAAATCATATACAAATATGTTCTCTAACCACAAAGAAATCTATGGTAGGCTATTCTTGCATAGCTATATATAAAGAAATACCGGCTGGGCCAGGAGCAGTAGCTCACGCCTGTAATCCCAGCAGTTTGGGAGGCCGAGGCGGGTGGATCGCCCGAGATCAGGAGTTCAAGACCAGCCTGACCAACAGGGTAAAACCCCATCTCTACTAAAAATACAAAAGTTAGCCGGGAGTGGTGACAAGTGCCTGTAGTCCCAGCTACTTGGGAGGCTGAGACAGGAGAATTGCTTGAACCCAGGAGGCGGAGGTTGAGGTGAGCTGAGATTGCACCACTGCACTCCAGCCTGGGTGATGGAGCAAGACTCCATCTCAAAAAAAAAAAAGAGAAAACAGAAAAAGAAACACCAGCTGGGTGCAGTGGCTCATACCTGTAATCCCAGCACCTTGGGAGGCCAAGGTGGGCGGATTACTTGAGGTCAGGAGTTCGAGACCAGCCTGGTCAACATGATGAAACCCTGTCTCTACTAAAAATACAAAAATTAGTTGCTAGAGGCTGAGGCAGGAGAATCGCTTGAACCCAGGAGGTGGAGGTTGCAGTGAGACGAGATCGCCCCATTGCACTCCAGCCTGGGTGACAGAGCGAGACTATCTCAGAAAAAAAAAAAAAAAAAAAGGAAGCATACCAGAGACTGGGTAAGTGATAAACAAAAGAGAAAGGAGATTTAATTGGCTTATGGTTCTGCTGGCTGTACAGGAACCATAGCAACTCTGCTTTTTAGGGAGATCTCAGGACACTTCCAATCTTGGAGGAAGCAGGAGCAAGAAAGAGATTGGGGGATGTGCCACACACTTTTGAACAACTAGATCTCACAAGAACTCACTCACAATCTCAAGGACAGTACCAAGAGGATGGTGCTAAACCACTCATGAGAAATCTGCCCCCATGATCCAATCGCCTCCCACAGGCCCCACCTCCAACAGAGGGGATTACAATTCAACATGAGGTTTGGGCAGGGACACAGACCAAAACCATATCAGAATCAAAGTAGAAATCATTAACAGATAACAGGAAAACCTACAAACACTTGGAAGCTAATAACTCCCTTGTAAATAATCTATGGGCCAGAAAGTCTCAAGGAAAACCAAAAAGTACATTGAACTGAAAGATAATGAAAACTAAACATATCAAAACATGGAAGAACCAGTTAAAATAGTACTGAGAAGGAAGTTTGTATCATTAAGTGTATACATTGGAAAAAGACAAAAAGTCTGAAATCAATTATCCAAGCTCCCACCTCAAGAACCTAGCAAAAGAAGGGCAAACTAAACCCAAAGCAAGCAGAAGGAAGAATATAATAAATAGCATAAATTAATGAAATTTAAAACAGAAAATCAATGGGGAAAATCAATAAGGCAACATGTTAGTTCTTTGAAAAGATCAATAAAATTGACAAATCTCTAGCAAGACTGACAAAGAACAAAAGAGGAAACACGAATTACCAATAAAGCAGGGAATACCACTATAAATCCTCCCAACATCAAACAATAAAAATGGAATAGTACAAATAATTCTACATACATAAATTTGACTACTCAGAATAAATGGCCCAATTCCTCAAAAAACACAAGCTACCAAATTTTACTCAATATGAAATACATAATTTGATTAGTCCTATTAAGGAAAAATATTTTTTAATTTTAAAACTCCCAAGAAAGTGATCTCTTGGCCCTGAAGGTTTCACTGGAGAATTCTATCAAATGTTTAAAGAAGAATTACTACTGATTTTACACAATCTCTTTCCAAAAAATAGAAGAGGAGGGAACACTTCCCTCCTCTTCCTGTGAAGTTAGTATTTACCCTGACACTAAAACTAAACAAAACAGTACCAAAAAAGAAAACTGCAGACCAATACCTCTCATGAATGTATATTTTTTAATCCGTTTTTAAATTACCAAAAGAATTCCTCAACATATAAAAATAATGATAAACTATGACCAAATCGGGTTTATTTCTGAAATGCAAGACTAGGTCAATACTTAAAAATCAGTCACTGTAATCTATCATATTAATAGGTTATAGAAGAAAAATCATATTAGCATATCAATACAGAAAAAACATTGACAACATTCAATACCCATTCATGTCAAAAACTCTCAGAAAAATAGGAATAGATGGGAAAGGCCTCAACTAGATAAATAACATCTACAAAATCCTACAGCTAGCATCATACTTACCAGTGAAAGACGAAATTCTTTTCCTCCTAAAATCAAGAACAAAACAAGGATGTCTGCCCTTGCCACTCTTATCCAACATAGTGCTGGAAGTTGTAATCAGCACAATAAGGCAAGAAAAGGAAATAAAAGACACACTTACTGGAAAGGATGAAATAAAACTGTCCCTATTCACAGATGACATGATTGTCTACATAGAAAATTCCAAGGAATCAAGGGGGAAAAAAAAAAACCTCCTAGAAATAATTAGCTAGTTAAGCAAGGTCATAGAACACAAGATAAATTTTTTAAAAATTGTATTTTTATATACTAGCAATGACCATGTGAACACTAAAAATACGATACCATTTACAATCACTCAAAAAAAGAGAAATGCTTAAGTGTAAATCCAACAAAATGTGCACAGGATTTATATGCTGAAAATTATACAGTGTCACTGAAAGAAATCAATGAAGATCTACATAAATGGAGATAAATATCCAGGTGTTCAAGGACTGGAAGACTCAACATAGTAAAGATGTCAATTCTCCCCAAATTGATATACAGCTTGAACATGATTCCTACAAAAATCCTGGCCAGGCACGGTGGCTCACACCTGTAATCTCAGCATTTTGGGAGGCTGAGGTGAGAGGATCGCTTGAGCTCAGGAGTTTGAAACCAGCCTGAGCAACATAACGAAGCCCCCATTTCTACAAAAAGTAAAAAAATAAAAACAAAAAGTTAGCTGGATATGGTGGTGCGTGCAGTTGTCCCAGCACTTTGAGAGGCCAAGACAGGAGGATCGCTTGAGCTCAGGAGTTCAAGACCAGCCTGGCCAACATGGTGAAACTCTGTCTCTACTAAAAATACAAAAATTATCCGGGTGTGGTGGTGTGCACCTGTAGTCCCAGCTACTCAGGAGGCTGAGACATGAGACTTGCTGGAACCCAGAAGGTGGAGGCTGCAGTGAGCCCAGATCATGCCACTGTACTCCAGCCTGGGCAACAGAGCAAGACTCTGTCTCAAAAAAAAAAAGAAAGAAAGAAAGAAAGGAAGGAAGGAAGGAAGGAAGGAAGGAAGGAGAAAGAGAGTAAGAGAGAGAGAGAGAGAGGAAGAAAGAGAGTGAGAGAGAGAGAAAGAAAATAGGCAGATGAAGGGCTGAGCGTGGTGTCTCACACCTGTAATCCCAGCACTTTGAGAGGCAGAGGTGGAGGATCACTTGAGCCCAGACTGGAGTGCAGTGCTGCTGTCTTGGCTCACTACAACTTCTGCTTTCCAGGCTCAAGCTATCCTCCCACCTCAGCCCCCAGGAGTAGTTGGGACTACAGGCACACACCACCACACCCGGCTTATTTTTTGTATTTTTGGTAGAGATGGGGCTTTACCATGTTGCCCAGGCTTGTCTGGAACTCCTGACTTCAAGAGATCCTCTCACCTTGGCCTCCCAAAGTGCTGGGATTACAGATGTGAGCCACTGCATCTGGAAAAAAAAAAAAATCCCCAAAATTAGCCAAGCATGGTGGTGCCTGTAGTCCCAGCTACTCAGGAGGTTGAGGTGGGAGGATCATCTGAACCTGATCCCAGGAGTTTGAGGCTGCAATGAACCATGATCATGCCACTGCATTCCACCCTTGGTGACAGAGCTAGACCCCATCACTAAAACAAAAAGAAAAGAGAGAGAAAATAGGCAAATGACATAAACATTATACTGAAAAGGCTATGGCATAGATGGCAAATGAGCACATAAAAAGAGGAACATCATTAGCCATTAGGGAACTATAAATTAAAGCCACAATGAGATACCACTTCACACTTATCAAAATGGCTAAAATAAAAACTTGTGGCTGGGCACAGTGGCTCACGCTTTAATCCCAGCACTTTGGGAGGCCGAGGTGAGTAAATCACCTGAGGTCAGGAGTTTAAGACCAGCCTGGCCAACATGGCAAAACCTCGTCTCTACCAAAACTACCAAAATTAGCCGGGCATGGTGGCAGGCGCCTGTAGTCCCAGCTACCCGGGAGGCTGAGGCAGGAGAATCGCTTGGACCCGGGAAGCAGAGGTTGCAGTGAGCCGAGATTGCACCACTGCACTCCAGCCTGGGCGACAGAGCGAGACTCCATTCCCCGCCCCCCACCCCGCCAAAAAAAAAGTGTAAACTGAAAGGACTGTGTTTGCAGGAATGTAGGGAAATGTCCTTTGATGCACAAAAGTTAATGGTTCCCTGGTTAAGGGACCTGAAAGACTGGAGAAAAACGCACTGCTTCCTCAACAGTAGGGGCAATGCCAAGTCCAGGGTTAGAGCACATTCAGCGGTGTAGTATCTGTCGTGTGGCTGTCAAGTATGGCTACTGCCTGCATTGCGTGCAGACTTGGAAATGAACTGGGCTGTCAATCAGCGAAAGACTCTACAAGCCCAACTGCCACACACATTGCAGGAAGGCCATATTTGAATCCCGCCAAAAACCTTTGCTGTGGGGTCCAATGGGCGCATACGTCTGTCTCTCAACAGCCAATCCTAGCACTGGGCATGCCTGTGGGGGCGTGGCCATGGAGACACAGTAACCAATGGCAGGGAAGAATTGAATGGGGGAGGGGAAGCGGTGGCTGAGGTGAGCCAAGAGCGGCGGTTAGAGCCGGCTGAGGTGAAAGAGAGCGACCGTTAGGGCAAGCTGAGGACTTCTGGTCTGTTTGGTACTTGAACTGTCAGCATATTTGAACTCCCGCTTGCCATTCAACATCATGGATGATCCGAAGAGTGAACAGCAGCGCATACTGCGCCGCCACCAACGCGAGAAGAAGGAGCTGCAGGCCCAGATCCAGAGCTTAAAAAACTCGGTCCCCAAGACCGATAAGAAGAAAAGAAAGCAGTTGCTCCAAGACGTGGCCCGCATGGAGGCCGAGATGGCGCAGAAGCACCGGCAGGAGCTGGAGAAGTTCCAGGACGACAGTAGCGTTGAATCTGTCGTCGAAGACCTGGCCAAGATGGATCTGGAAAACCGGCCTCCCCGCCCCTCCAAAGCCCAGAGAAAGCGAGAAAGAATGGAGTCCCAGGAGAGGGAGCGCCAGGAGAGCATCTTCCAGGCCGAGATGTCCGAGCACCTGGCCGGCTTTAGGCGCGAGGAGGAGGAGAAGCTCGCCGACATCCTGGGAGCCAGAGGTCTGGAGATGAAGGAGATCCCGGCCGACGGCCACTGCATGTACCGCGCCATCCAAGACCAGCTGGTGTTCAGCGTGTCGGTGGAGATGCTGCGCTGCCGCACCGCCAGCTACATGCAGAAGCACGTCGACGAGTTCCTGCCCTTCTTCAGCAACCCGGAGACCGGCGACCCCTTCGGCTACGACGACTTCATGATCTACTGCGACAACATCGTGCGCACCGCGGCATGGGGAGGCCAGCTGGAGCTGAGGGCCCTGTCGCACGTCCTGAAGACCCCCATCGAGGTGATCCAGGCCAACTCGCCCACCTTGGTCATCGGGGAGGAGTACGTCAAGAAGCCGATCATCCTGGTCTACCTGCACTACGCCTACAGCCTCGGCGAGCACTACAACTCCGTGAGACCGCTCGAGGCCGGCGCCGCCGGGGGCGCGCTCCCGCGTCTCCGGTAGGCCCCGAGGCACCGAGCGGCCCCGCGGAAGCCTTTCCTTCGCCGCATCTCCTCAGTAGGCTCAGTTTATTTTCCCCCTTTGCTTTTCTCAGTTGTTTGTTTTTTTTTTTCCCCCTTCCTTTTGATCATAACTATCCCCCCTGCCCCGCCCCCGCTTTCCTAACCTTGCTGCTTTCACGGGGTGGGAAATGAAATTCGAGGGAAATTCCCTGGAAATATGAGGGAAATCTCGGCATTGCACCACCAGAGGGGCATACGTTTGATAAGGGCTAACCTCTTCTTGCCCATAAGGGTCTTTACCTCCCTCACCGACTAAGATTTGGTCACGTTGTGCATAACTTAACGATAAAAATGGAAATGTTGGCCGGGCGCGGTGGCTCACGCCTGTAATCCCAGCACTTTGGGAGGCGGAGGCGGGCGGATCACGAGGTTAGGGGTTCGAGACCAGCCTGACCAACATGGTGGCACCCCGTCTCTACAAAAATACAACAATTAGCCGGGCGTGGCGGCGGGCGCCTGTAATCCCAGCTACTCGGGAGGCTGAGGCAGGAGAATCGCTTGATGGGAAGCGGAGGTTGCAGTGAGCCGAGATCGTGCCTTTGCACTCCAGCGTGGAAGACAGTGAGACTCCGTCTCAAAAAAATAAAAAATTAGCCGGGCGTGGTGGCGGGCGCCTGTAATCCCAGCTACTTGGGAGGCTGAGGCAGGAGAATCAATTGAACCTGGGAGGCGGAGGTTGCAGTGAGCCGAGATCGTGCCTTTGCACTCCAGCGTGGAAGACAGAGTGAGACTCCATCTCAAAAAAAAAAAAAAAAAGGAAAAAAAGGAAATGTTAAGTTTCATGTGTTCTGGGAAAAATAAATCTAGTAGACTAGCTCGGGGAGTCTTCAGGTTTTCCTATGAATATCTTGGATTACTCAGACAAAATTGGAGTTTATGTGATCAAAATGCCTTGTGAAGGCCTTTTGCTGAGTTTTGGGGGGAAAGATTGTCATGGTTTGCTTTTTACTTAAGCTGGGCTACTCAGGAGATGTCTCAAGTTATGAACAAGAGATCCGCTGGTACTTTGTTTTGTTTTTTTCATCAAAACTTATGTGGTTCCTAATTAACTTTAGTTGCTCCCATGTTTGCTAATTCTAAATAACAGCATTTGTTAAACATGTAAGGTAAATCTGTTAAATAGAGAAAGTAAATTTAGATTAACTGATAGGCTAGATAAGGTTTACTCTAACATGTGAAAGATCTAAACTTAATTTCCTTTACTAACGGTAGGAAGATATATGACTTTATTCAAATAGTTGATATGTTTCATTACCTTTACAACTGGTATAAAGAAAAAAGAGACACATTGATAGATAATTTACTTACTCTAAGGGGTGAAGATCTGAATCGAGTAAGTTTCCTTTATTCTTAGAGATATAAAAGGCTATGACTTTATTCAAGTACTTGATCCACCTTGTTATATCATCTGGTATGAAATGTGAAAGATATGAATGTAACAACTTTCCTTATTTCTTAGAGAGAGAGAAATATCTAAAAAGATCCTTTAAAATATTAAAGTTTTATTCTATTTTGTTATATCAATAACTGACATGAGACAAAAAAGTAAACAATATACTTTTGTTATTTGAGACTTGTTAATATCCTTGAATTTTCCAAAAGAATATAAAGTGAAATGATTTACAGTCAACAACTTATGAAAATTTTAATCTTTACTTTCTGTAATTTAGTGAGATTAATTTTGGAAATTCTTTCTACATTCCAAATGCTCTAAGATAAAATATATATGTTTTTAAAAGTTTTTAAACATGTAGTTTGTTCAAAAATAAAAACCATTTAAAAAATACCTGCTTCTCTGTTTTTGTGTAGCTAACTTCATATAGAGTCTATATCCCAGGATCTACTAATCCTGGAGGGTTAGGGAGCATAGGCCTGTTGGGGGTGGCAGGGTGGTGGTTGCTGAGTGGGGACAGGGGCAAAGGCTGGCGAAGTGCTCTAGAAATGGGAAAGGTGCTCTACTTCAGTGAGCTACATAGGGTCGGGGGGGGTGACAAGCTAAAAGAAGAGGCCTGGCTAGGGTAGGGGACCTTCATGGACAAAGAGGCCCAGCTGGGTAGGGGGACACAGGCTAGGAAAGAAGGCCTGGCTGAGGGAGGATGCCTGGAAAGGGTCCAGGCTGGAGGCTGGAGCATGGGCTGGTGAAGGGTTCCTGGTAGAAGGTGGCCCAGTTGGGGCAGGCTGGAGAAGAAGAGGAAGGGGGCCTGGCTTGGGAAGGGAAGCTGTTTGGGAACTGGGCTACAGTCTGGAGAATGGGTCCTGGCAGGGGTGGAGTTGGGTGGAGAAAAGGTCAGGCAAAGGGGCTGGGTCAAGAAAGAGTCACTGCCTATACAAGGAGGAATAGGCTGACCAGGGGGCAACTCAATGAGCAATGGGACTTTGGCTATTGAATGGGGAAATGGCTCAGGCAACCTGCCTGGCCAGGGGAATTGAAGGGAATTGGGAAATTGGGCCTGGATAGGGAAGAGAGCCTCACTGGGGAGGGCACACAGGCTGAAGAAGTGACATATGGTGTGGAGGGGTCATGGAAGAAGGAAACCTGGCTGGGATGGGGGGAGAGGGGACCTGGCTGCAAGGGTAGGGGAACACTGGCTGGGAGAGGTGGCCAGGCTGATGATGCAGGCTTAGGTGACCAAAGGGGCCAAGTATGGGAGTGGCCTTGGCAGGGCAAAGAGGAAGATGTTGGGGAAGAGGGAACAGGCTAGGGAGGCACAGGCAGAGGAAGGGGACAAGGCTGGGCAAGGGAACCTGGCTATGGACTGGGACACGGGGTGGGCAAGGAAGCCTGGCTGGGAGGGGCATAATAGGGTGAGCTGGGGTGGAGGGAGCTGGTTAGGGAAGAACTGGCTGGTCAAGGGAAGGAGGCCCAGTTGAGTTAGGAGCCAAAGGATGAGAAAGGTATTCCTAGCTGTTAATGAGAGGAAAGGCTGGGGAAGGACACCTGGCTGGAGGAGGGGACATGGGCTACCCAATGGAGTCCAGGCTGGAGAAGGCACTGGATCAGTGAAGGAGATCTAGCAGGAAAGCAAGCATAAGCTGGGGAGGAGGACATAGACTTGAGGAGAAGGACATAGATTGGCGGAGAGGGCGAGACTGAGGAAGGGTCCCAGACGTGGGTATATGCCTGTCTTGTAAAGGGACCACAGTCTTGAGAGGCTGGCACAATCTATGGAAGACAGATGGGTGTGGGGTAGGAAGGATCGTGGGGTAAAAAGACCCCTTAGGGAAAGGTTGCCTAACTGGAGGCGGACTCTGACAGCGGAAGGGGCTGGGGAGGGAGGCACAGACTAGGAAAGGGAACCTGGTGGTGGGAGAGGTTTGAATACCAAGAAGGACATAGGCTAGAGATGGGATCATAGGCAGTTTAGTGGGCCTGGCTGGGAGAAGGGGCCTAGCAGGTGGAGAGAGCTTGCTGGGAAAGAGATCATGCCTGGGAATGAGAGCCTCTCCACCTGACGGGAAGTTGGCTGAGGAAGGGGCACATGGTTGAGAAAACGGGCTTAGTTGTGGAGGGGGACACAGGATAGGAATGGCGTCTGGCTGGGGTAGAGGCAATAGGCTGGATAAGAGGCCTGGTCAGGCGAAGGTTGTGGAAGGAGGCCTGCCTGGAAAAAGGAGCACAGACTGGGGCAGAGGGCATATTGCGTGAAGAGAGCTTGGCTGCAGGAGGGGCACGGCTAGGAAAGCGTTCCTAGCTAGGGAAGCAGACTTGGCTTAGCATGGGGCACATGTGAGTGAAGGGATCCTGGTGGGAAAGGTTGCATGGCTAGGGAGGCCACTGGGCAGGTGAGGGAGAACTGCCTGACTGCGGAAGGAAGTGCTGGCTGGGAAAGGCCAGCAAAGGGGCAACTCCTTGGAAAAATGGTCCAGTTGAAAAGGGGAAAGGCTGGGGATGGGTGCCTGGCTGTGGGAAGGGGACATAGAGTTGATAAAAGGCCTGGGCTGGGGAAGGGCAGAGTGCCTATGGAGGCTGTCAGCAGGGTCTCAGGTTGGGGAATAAGCTCTGGCTGGGATTGAGGCTGGCCTGGGGAGAGGAAGGAAGGAGGGGCATCCAGTGTGGGTACAGGATGAGGAGGAAGCCCCACCGAGACACAGACTGGGAACCTAGCAGTAGTAAGTGGTTAGAGGGCAGAGAGGTGCGCACAGACTGGTCAGATGGCTAAGAAAGGGGCCAATCTAAAGACACAGCTTGAGGAAGAGAGTCTGGCTGGGGAAAGGGGCCCTGGGCAAGGGGACACAAGCTGAGCAAGGAAAATAAAGTTGGGTCGTGGAACCTGCCTGGAGATAGGGATATTGGGCAAAGGGGACCTGGCAGGCGAAGGGGCTCTGGCCGGGGTAGATTTCCTTCATGATCCAGGACCAGCTAGAGACAGGAGTTCAGGCTCGGGAAGGCTGCCTGGTTGCCAAAGAGGGCCTACCTGTCTGGGGGCACAGGCTGGGGAGAGGCAACAAGCTGGGGCAGAGAGCCCGGGTAGGGTTGCTGCAGAAGGCAGTACTGGCTGGGAAATGGGGCCTGACTGGGGAGGCTGTATCAGTAGATATAGGGGAAGCATGCCTAGCAGGGCAAGGTGACCTGACTGGAGAAGTGGCCTTGGCTTGGGAAGGGGCCAACCTGGGAGGAAAGGTATAAATGGATGGAAGGGGCCTGGCTAAGTGAGGGGGCCTGGCTGAGAAAGTGGGCATGACTGGGTTCCAGGGAACAGGCAGGTTCGGGGCTCCTGATGAGAGAAGGGCAGGCAGCATAGGGTGGGGATCGGGTGGGGAAGGGGGACTCCCTGAGAAAGGAGGCCTAGGTCTAGAAAGGAAATCGACTGAGGAGCAAGGTTAAGGAAGTGCAGCTGGGCAAGGAAGGGGGAATAGGCTGGTGACATTGCTGAAGGGAGCCTAGTTGGCATAGGGTATATAAGTTGGTATAGGATGAAAAAGAGATTCCTCGCTTTTGAA